TAAAAATAATTTTTATTTTTTGTCTAAGTGACTAAAACACTTATTTACGCGTTATATCCTGATTATTAGAAGCTCGTAAAGAAACGCATGTGGACAGTGTAAGTGATTCTGGCTCGACTAGATATCTAAAACCTAAATTTTTTTTATTTAAGAGAAATATGACTATCGCCTGAACTAGAATCACATTAATATGGTGAACCATTATTCTAAATAAAATCGCCTTTTTATCAAGAAATCTTAGTTTCGTCTTAAAGTGTAGTTAGTGTTTCATTAATAAAAAGTAAAATAAAAATATAATGTTTGTTCTTGTTCAGACGATAGTCACACTTATCCTGAATAAGAAAATTTTTTGCTTTTTTCAGATACCTGTAGGAGAGTCATAATCACACTATGCGTGTGCGCGTTTTTGCAAGCTCCTAGTGACTAACAAGTAAACCTACCCAAAAGTTACACTCCGATTTATTTTTAATTCAGCATAAATGTAGAAGTACAAAAAATATTTAGGTCATATTTTTTCATTTTGGCCCACTTTAGTTTCACGGGCAATTTATAGTTTTTTAATGTTCTCACTCCTATCATCAATAAGTGCAACAAAAATGCATAAGAAATAAAATTGAATACAAAATATAGGCGTTTTTGGTTTGCATAATATGAAGTTTGAATATAAAGTCAAATGTGTAAAATTATTTATATAAATAATAAAATGTTTAAACAAAATATGTAAAAAGTTGAAAAAATTATTTATACAAATAATTTTTCGGTTTAACCGAGATTCGAACCATTTTTGACTAATTTAGCATGGATTTGAAATGTTTCGATTAAAATTTCGACTAAAGAAATTTAGAATGGTTTGTGTCTCAGCTATGCCGATTTTGTTAAAATTATATAACTGTATCTTGTATTCAATTTTATTTCTTATGCATTTTTGTTGTACTTGTTGATGATAGGAGAATATTAAAAAACTATAAACAGCCCGTGAAACACAAAGTAGGCTAAAATGAAAAAATATGACCTAAATATTTTTTTGTATTTCTACATTTGTTTACAAATTAGAATAGAATTAGAAAGAAATCGGAGTGTACCTTTTGGGTAAGTTTATTTGTAAGACATAACATACAAAAGAAGAACGTTATCATTATTCAGTCAAGAAAAATATATTCTTAAAACAAAATTTAAAAATATATAAAATTTGACATTATTCGATTTTTTCGTTTCTTTGTAAGAAATTTCAAAAATATTTTTTGCAACCTTTCAAACCAGAATACCTCAAGTTTGATGCGTTCTGTGCGCGTGTGTGTTTGATAAAAAAAAGAAAGAAGAAGAAAAACGCAGCGGGAAACTGAGAAACACTCGCGTACCGACCGCAAGCGTTTTCCATGCGTGTGGAAACGGCAACGGAGCCGCTTCTTTGAGAATTTTTCGACGTAAAAATGCGCCGCTAAGAGAAACGCGTGCTTCCGCGCGTACCATTTGTTTCTTGGAAAAAAGAGAAACGTATTTAATTCTCCTCTTATTGCAGAGATGCGCGCTCCCGCCCTCTTTCTCCCTCTTTTTCCCGGTCCCCTTATTTCCGCGTTCAGAGACTCCGGTGCTACTCAAATATTCATGAGCCACTCTCTCCCCGGTAAACAGCTGAGAAAAAAGCAGCTACGTTGTCTCGTATTTAGCAATTATTCAATTAGCCGACCGTCGCTGTGACGAGGGAACGAGCACGCGAGCTTCCGTCGTTGATGAACGGCATGAGCCGTCGGCTTTGCATTTTTGGACGACGCTTTCGTTAAAAGATATCTCGTGGTTCGCGATCGAACCGTCATGCTATTCCAGGTTTTATCTAACGCGAATTAAAGGCCGCTCCCGTTCCTTCTCTCGGATAACGATCGGGCAACGGTACGATAATCTGAAATTAGATCAACGATACATGGTTTCCCGTCGTAGTAGCTCACCGTGCGACAGAAGTGTTCCGCGCTTCCGGTAAGAAGATAGACCCCGACCGTTCGATATCCTATCACAGAAGTTTCTTTATCCTCGAAAATACCGATGTATCGCGCCTGGATTTCCAGCCAAGCGTCCCCGAGTGATCTTATTTCTCTCGCATCTGTCGCACTTTAATTCGCCCGCGAATTGGACTTGGTTAGATGGCGTGCAAGTGTATGGATGCTCGATTAACGTGGTACGTGAATTCGGAGTGATTTTAATATATTAGAGAGTCAGATAGGGAAAATTATGCAGGATTGAGTGATTATGTAGATAGTGAATAAGTGAAGGCGAAACAAGACATTAGATAGGAAAGCAAGATTCAGGACGGAAAAAGTGTATAAGTAATAGAGATTATGACGTCATAAGGAACAGAATTAGGGCAATGTAGATAAGCTTAAATTAGTAATACATAGGAGATTATCGATAGAAGAAATATATAATAGATAATGACAGAAGTACACAAGGAATAGAGGAAGAAGAGGATACAAGAAATGAGGAAGAAAGGTTGGGTCATCAGATGAGATAAGGAAGCAAAATAAAGGTATGCGGAAAAAAGATGACACAAGGACCGGTGGGACGTGCAAGTAAGAGAAGTGAAGTGCAAAGAACAAGAGGAAGATTATAAGATATAAAAAACTTCTCGGTGATGCAAGCTGAAAGAGACAGAAGAGATGAAGAAGAAGGCAGAAAAATCACTTCGTAGAATTAGTAAGGAGTATAAAGCGGAATAATGAAACTAACAAGATATGGAAGAAAATTAAGATAAATGAGGATGAAGAGGAAATGAAGAAAGTGAAAAAACAGTATAGGAAGAGGAAAGACAAAGGAATAGATGTGTACAATTGAAGGAAAGGATAAAGTTTGAAATGTTGGGTATAAGGACGATATGGTACCCGTTGAGTGAAATAGAAAAGTATAATTAGACATGATAAAAAGAAAGAAGATGTAGATAGTGTAAAATTAAAAAATTCAAATTAAAAAAGGTAAAAATTAAACAAGGTGAAAATTAAAAAAAGTAAAAATTAAAAATATTGCGAAAGAAAATTACAAGGGCGTTTAAGTAACAAGGATGAATAAAATGATAGATAATATTATAAAATCAAAGAGATCAAGGCTATGTAACTATAGAGATATTAGTATAAGATATTAACTAAACAGAATTAGAAATAAGTAATAGATGGATGTGTATGGTTAAGGAATATAATTGTAAACGAAGTCCCTTTGACTATGTAAGCTAAAGGAAAATATATTGATACTCTGAAATCGCCCGCGAATTTGTGTCGCGTTTCGTAGGGGGAAAAGAGGACACAAAGTCGGCACTTTGCCAGTTTTCTGCATGGATTTGATTAAACACTATTTTAAACTACCCAACGTTGTCCGGGTTATCACAAAGTGTCAAGAAAATAAAATCAAAGGAAAGAAGTGAAGTTCTCTAGTTAGATTTCATGCTAGTCTATATTCTCCACAAAGTCCTACCGCTGATGTTATTTGCAAACGCAAACAGTGTCACTACACGAAAATCTCATCGAAGTCGTTAATTCCATTACCACAGATGTAGAAGGTTGGAATTGGCACGATTTATAACGAATTTGTATACTACAGATTTTGCAATGAAATCTTACTTCGATTGCAGTTACCGAGAAATTGCCGACAAATTCGATCTCTTGTTACTTCGGTTGCCTGACGGCTAATGGAGCAATTTGGTCTGACAAGAGAATATCTCTCGAATATCCTGACGAACGAATTCTTGAAAGAGAGAAAATCATCCACTGCTTATCGCGCGGTGAGATGCTCATTCTACTGATTCAATCAGAAACACTTTTGCTGATTCACTTTAAGAGAGAGAGAAAGTAGATAACTCATCGTTTACATAGATGACATCTCATACATAGTTTACGTTACCTAGACGTAGAATATCATAACTTACACGCAAATACCCAAGTCTGGTGCCGGCTGCTGGACGTCTCTCACTATCCGCTCTGTCGCGAAATTGTCCTTATCGTTGAGGAAACAGACGACGTTCTCACGGGCTGTTACTTCATACGGAAATCTAACTTCCCCGTCGTCGGACTAATCGTCGATGCTCTCGGCTGAGCGATCGCGACCCGTCTAATTAAGATCGCAATCGCGGTTGAGAGTCATTGTGCTACCCGCGATCACCGTCGTTACGCTTTTCGCTCGCGAGAACCACCGACGACGACTCGTTACCGTCTCTCTACCGAGAGAAAACCGCAACTAGCGGGGAAACACGAGGAGAGATGCTCGAAGCGTCTTAATTAAATATAAGTAACAAGAGAGAGAGAGAAAGAGCTCTCGACATTCGACATCTGCGGTCGAGCGGACAAACGAGGAACTCAATCCGGAAACCGTGTATCTCACCATTCGCGGTAAGAGCCGCGACGCTTGGTTGTCTCGCGCGCCTCCTGTATAATTTCTCGTTTTCTCGTGCCACCAGTTAACCGATACCCGACAATTACGGGTGCCGATCCGAGGCAAGGCCGCGTCCTCTCCGAAGAGTCGTCGCGATGACGGGGAGAATCTCGCGCGGCTCTGGGATTCGAATCGATATGTCGCCACCGTGTTGCATCGTCCCGTAACTCGTCCTCGCCGTTTCGAAGGCTCCTTGAATTATTCCTCGGACGACACACGTACACTTTCTGTCGCGCGCGCGCGCGCGCGGATACGTGCCTGGTTTCTTCCGTTTTCCGATCGTTCGAAGGCCGAGCGCGACGGAATATTCTGCGACGCCCGGCGTACGTGATTTCTTACAAATGCTCATTGTCGTTCGCATTAATGGCACGTTTACGAGGACTCTTTGATCCTTCTCGCACGTCTTAAATCTGGCGTTTTATTCGCGCTTTTGATTTTTTTTTACTGTAAGCTCTAAGGGGGTTATTCGCTAACCCCCGTGTGGGTATCAATAAACTCCAATCTACTATATTTTATTCTTTCTTTCTTTCTCTCTTATCATTCGGACAAGTGACTCGTTAATATAATTTGAGAAGATCATTCGATTCGCTCACCTTTCCGTGCCACATCTATCGTCGAGAGTCCTCGCATCGAAGACGGAAGTTCAGAATCCGCACATGGCGACGCCGAGGACACGGAGTTCTGCAACAGCGACAAAATTGGCTTTTCAAAATCGCAATACTAACTTCTCTATATGATTATAGTTACAAATACCAAGTATTTTTTCCTCAATTCAGTATTAAAATAGAATTAAATGTCTTTTTCACTTACTATATAGAAAATATAGTTGATACAGAGATAATTAGAACGCGACGTAATATGATCTGTTACAAAACAGATAAATGATTGAGATCAGCTCAGTCAGCATGAACAAGATTTACAACCATCCGAGATATCAAACGCAACCGTGAGCACGGAAGGAACGAACGATTCGGCGTGAAAACGTAAAGAAGTTTCGCCGGATACAAATCAGTTATCGTCATGGCGCAAAGAACCGGCTCCTCGGAGCTTCGGTTCCTCGAGAACGCTTACGGCAAAGAAACGTATGTACAGGAAGACGTCGGCGGAGAGAAGTCGCCGCTCGTCTTCTTCCGACATTTCTTTCTTGCGAGCGAGCGCGAGACGTTCTTACAATTTTCAAGTCGTCCCCGTTCGCGGCTTCGAGTCACGGCGCGAGGAAAAACATTTTCCGAGCAAATTGGAACGGGGCAGATAGCTCTCGCGGAGCCAGCGAGGAGATGAGGCAACAGCGGAAGTCTGTCTGGGCTTAAAGAGAGAGAGAGAGAGAGAGAAAGAGGGAGAGACGACCAAGAATTTCTGTAGCCCAAAAACGAGCTTCTTCCATAATCACCAGACGTTGTTTCGCGTGAGGATTAACGAGTTTTGCGAATTCTCGCGACGTCCTCCATTATCCCTCTTTCATCGTCGCGCCCGAGATTATTTATCGTGTCGTTATTAGTCCGCGCACCGCCATTATCGCGCACTTCTCTACGTCGCACAAAGTAGAGCGCGCGCTCGTTTAATCTGCCAGCTCCACGTTGATACGCGGCGTCGGGCCGCGAATTAGCATAAATACCGAGAGCGATCGGCTCGTAACTCATCCAAGAATGATTTCCCCTTCCGGCCTGGCGGTTATCCTTGAACGCCATAATTAATAAAGCTTCGATTAATGTGTAATCAGTTAGGCCGCCGGCCGATCGAAAATTAATGGCTTCGATCGTTGTCACGCGAGTTTAATCGCAAACTGCCGCGTCACGACGCGGACGGAATCGTTGTATCGCGTGGTGCGTGAAATACGAGCGGCCGTGGCGGCGGCGGCGGCTGCACTGATCGATAGTAACTTTCTGGCTGATAAGAATGCCGTCTCGAGCGAGCCAGACCAGCATACTCGCAAATTCAAACGGCAGAGCGGGACAGGTGACAAAGAAACGACGGCGGCAAATGAAACTTTACGGCAAGTTTTACGGCCGAATTTTGGCCCGAATGACTGCGCTAATATCGTTAATCCGCGATATCCGACGCGATGCCCTCTGATAACGCGCGTTTCTTCCCACGAGAGCAGCGCGCAAAGTACGAAATACGTTTCTGCCTTATTGGCGCGAAATGAAAAATGACACGTCGCGCGCGTTAGTTGGTTGATCAATTTCGTTCACGATTCTGCTGAAAAGAATTGTTTTATAAAAATCAATGATATCCTTTTATTAAAATCGAGTAATTGATATGCACATCGTATAAATATATCGCAAAAATTTCTAAAGAATCGATAAAAGTGTGTAAGTGAAATTACATGTAACCTATATTTCGACTTTCATTGCTTTTAAAACAATTAATATGGGATAAAAACAGATAAATTTCTATTAAAATATGAATAATCAAATATTCAGTAATTTACCACATTAAATGTAGCTGGAAACAGGAAGTAAATCCAATTCGAAGAGAAAATTTATAAAAGATATATATATATATATATATATATATATATATATATATATATATATATATATATAT